AAAAAGAGAAACAGAGAGAGAGAGAGAGAGAGAGAGAGAGAGAGAGAGAGAGAGAGAGAGAGAGAGAGAGAGGTGAGCTGTCGTCACGTTGCATCGGAACTCTCGGGCGAGATTGAATTCTCAGCTGCGCCTGATCCGTTCGACGTTTTCCCTGAAATTAATGGCGATCGGCTGCTTGCGAGCGCGCTCGCAGCAACGCGATTCCCTCTTCTTGCTCATTAGCGATCGCGACAGTTTATTTTTTGATTCCGCGCGGCGGCTGACTGCGCATCGACGTTACGGATAATTGCAGGTTATCGAAGAAAATGATCGCGCGTGAGAGTTTTAATCACTATCCTGTATATCTATGTAATAGAATGTTTCTGTTTGTATGTTCTATATAAATTCCTAAACCCTTTGACCGATCTGGACCAAATTGTGTATAGTTACTCTCTAATACCCTCGGGAAAATATAGGCTATCATGAAACCTGGACATATCCATCGTTGACAAACTCCACCCCCTCCCGCTGATTTCATCCCCTTGACACTTTGTGATAATCCGAGCAACGCCGGGTAATTTAGGCTAATAGGAAATATTAATGAAACACGCACACACACATATACACGCAACACGTACACGCCCGACGTCGCCGAGATCGCGAGGAAGCTGTAAACGCGACTGGAAATTACAATCTCACGGCATGAATGATTAAGAACTCCCGGTATCATGCTGTAAATCAGTTCTTACAGATCAACTCTTGCGGATTGACGTTCGCGAGCGCGATTAGCGTTCTCTTCAGCGGTCAGCTCGGAATATTCGCCAGGTCCGTTTGTACTTTTTTTCCGAGGCGCGGGGCGAAGAAAACGAGCGAAACGAGACAGCTCGCTGTGGCGGCTGAGAACGATTCGACTTTACGATACGCATAAGTCTCCGGGCTTTATCGGGGACGTGATCGTGACTTCGGCGAGTCGCATCCAACACACACACATACACAGCTCGTTGTACCCCTCGACGCGTGCTCCTCGATCTCTCTGGTCTCCTACCAAGCTCTTCGCGAAGCGGGGACCGAGTATCGAGTGGTCATCGGGTTCTCGAGTTCCTCGAGAACTTCGGAAGGGGTCGGCGAGCTTGTCCAGTACTCGCCTGCCAATTACGGAACAGAGATCTAACCGTAGTAACGTGTAGTGTTTCCACCATTGTCCGCAGGACCGAGCGGGGCATACAGTCCGGAAGCGACGATGGGCTACATGATGGACGGACAGGCGGCCAGCATGATACACCGGCCGCCCACCGATCCTACGTTCCACAATCAGTACCATTACCCGTCAGAGTACTATGGACATCACTTATAAAGGTTTGTACATCGACGCCGTAATCGCCGATTTGCCCGATTTCATGCCGGAATGCGGAATACCAGCATCTCCTTTTTTGTTTTTATGATAGTCGATCGATTTCGAGAGAATGATGTAACGAGATTTTTGTTGTTATCAGTTGAAAATAAAAAAAAATTATTTATGTATTATGTATGTGTAATATATTTGTATGTCACGTATATGCGAAGGGGGATAATATTAACACATTACTGACCGCTCAAGTAGATCTACTTCCGTTAATCATGACGGATCGTCAATCGAGCGATCAGCCTGGGTCTTCGCGACGATTCCGGAGAAACACGATTGGCCTCCTCTTCAGAGCTTAATGCCGTTCATTATCCCAAATTGCACAATTGTACAAAAGCTTAAGCTAAGGCACGTTATTGCGCACGACTCGCGAAGCGGGAACGAGCGGTACTCCGAGTCTAGCGAAGCGCAACTCGCGCGGTTAACAATGTGTTAATATACAAGTGAAATAGCGCGAGGACTATCAGCTTGCGATCTTTACTTTCCCCTCATTAGCGTGATAACCTATCGCGTTGAATTGAGGATCGCCAACCTCGCGTGTTCCAGGAGCACTTTCGGAAGAATGGAATGCACGATGGAACGACGGTTCTAACGACACGAGAAGCGCGTGACAGACGCACCGTGCTCCAGCTGGCGTAGGCCAGGATCGGAGGACAACGATGATCCGTGGCCTTCAGGACGATCGCCACGGTAGGTCCCGACGATTTCTTGCTACGTCGCACGTCGAAATCCGTGACGATCGGGAGGTGTTCGAAACGCGAGGAGGACAGGGAGAGAAAGAAAGAAAGAGAGAGGTGAGGAAGGACGAAGGAATGGGATTCCCGGCTCCAGGAGGTAGGACGAGAAGTCGGTGGAAACGCCGTGGGAAGCCGACTAGCAGAGAAGGAACAAGATATTGGTAGAATCGTCGAAGAGGTGGAAGGACGGTTACGCGCGACGGCAGGAGTCGACGCGCCGCGGAAGAGCGTCGGCGGCGACGCGCGATGGAAGGACACGAGGAGGGATGAAGTCGCGGCCTGGCCCGGAAAGTGACGCGGCCGCGAAGAAATTCATGTGATTGTTCTTTGTACAAATATCGCGGTGTAATATTGTAGTGATGGAAGAATTTAAATGTTAAATTTTAATACGGTCGCGATCGAGATATATTAATGAGATATAAGTGATATAGGCAATTTAGCGGGCATGTACATTAAAAGAGACGGAGGAAACGGAAAAGAGGCAAACCCGGTGCTCGCACGGAAGATAAAGGGTATGTCCACGTGCACAGACAACACGAAAGAGGTATAAAGCGAGAGACATACAGAAAAAGTTGGAGAGTATATATATATATATATATATACATATATATGTGTGTGTATATATATATTATAAATAAATATATAAATAGAGCGAAAGAGAGAGAGAGAGCGAGCGAGAGAGAGAGAGAGAGAGAGAGAGAGAGAGAGAGAGAGAGAGAGAGACACACACAAAGGATGAAAGAAAAGAGAAAGAAGATTATTAAATGGGGTATGAAGAAGATGTGTTTAAAGGTATATAAAAAATAAAATGAACGCAAGGCGGAAGAGAGAAAGAAAGGAGAATTAGGCCGAATGACATCGACGCGTGTGCCGGACTCGAGCGTCGACCATTCACTTGCATATATATATAGGAGACATTAAAAATTTGTACAGTTATTAATTATAAATGAATTTACTAATTAAAGGAAGAATATATTATATATATATAAATATATATACATGACGGAGTAAAGTGTGGCCCCGGTTGTAATATAAGTCGAGCGTTGTAGTTGGACTGGGACGATTATTGGTATATTGCCGACGCGTACTAACAGAAGAGAAAATCTCCGCGCGAACCGAGAAAGAGAAAGAGGAGCGGAAGACGCGAGTGGCGCGAGTGAGAGAATATACGAGAGTAAACGCGTGCTGATTATAGTTATAAATAAAAACGAGATATAGATACCTGCGCGCGCGAGCGAGAGAGAGAGAGTTTGAATGCGAAAGTGAGAAAGAAAGAGAGCGAGCGAAAGAGAGAGAGCGAAAGAGAATGAGAGAGAGAGAGCGAGATAGAGAGAAAGAGAGGATTGATGCTCTTCGTCGTGCACTCGATGACGCAGCGATATCCCTCCGAGAGAGTCCCACCCTCTAAAACCCAACCCAATCCAACCCCCGCTCCCGCACAGGCGACATTCATCCACAAATATACACACACATACACTAAAGACACTACCCTCTCAGATTCGCGGAGAGAGACGCGTGTGTACGAACTCACAAACACAGCTAGGCTGTATGTGTTGCACACATACAGTCCTACGAAACACAGCTCTCCCACGACCATAAGAATAATTGAACGGAAGAGAGTACACGTTTTGCAGTTTATTATAATATATTCTGTATAAATAGTTAATTCAATTGCAAAAATACGAAGAGGGAGAAGGCGGAATCGAACGGGAGGACCGGTCTGCGAGCGTGAGCGCGCGCTCGTTTTTCCGGCGCGTCGGCTTTTCTCGCGTCGGGAAAGGGAAAGCGCCGGAGAGAACAAAGGGTTGGGCGGGAGATCGAGAGGAACGATTTAATCGTAATTTCCTTTATTCGTATCTCAAATAAGAGTCCGCGGGCGGAAAATGCGCCGAACGCAATGAGAGGGAGAGTGACGCGCGAGATGAGAGAAGGCATACGCGGCGGGGGGAAAGCATGAGACCACGTGAGAAAACAGCGCGCGCACGCGTACGATGTTGAGAATGAAGCAATTATTATTATCGATGTACACTAATAGCTCCAACACGATTTTTTCTTAACTGTTCTCTCACACGTTTCATTAATTCGCCAAACATCTGGGCCTAGTTTTAGCGTCATTTTTCTCCATTTCTGCCCGACATTACATCATCGAACCTGGACGATCGCGAGTCGAGGTCAGATCGTGACAAAAATTGCAGTCATGGGATAAAAATTGCAGTCAGGGAACAAAAATTGCAGTCAATAGCAAAATTGCAGTTTCTCGTCAAATATTTGCGGAAAAAGTCGGGAGACACGAGTACATTTGACACGATTGACTTTTGCCGAACATGTATCGTGTTTGCTGAAGTCTCGTCGAGTCACCGAAAAGAAGTGCGATTTTCGTCGCAGCAGTGATTGGACGACAGCTCGGGTCGAGGACGAAACTTGGTACGTGTTCAGAACACACATCTTTCGCTTTCTTAATTCCGAGTCTGACACTCGCGCTCGCAAATACGATCGTCAAGGTGCTCATAGTTGCGCTCGCAGACAGAGTCTCTCTCTCGAAAGCAATTGACAGCAGGGGAGCCCTTTCGAATCCGACACTTTCCTCATCCTTTCCTCGTCTCGACGAAGACGGACCACAGTATCGACGCGGCCACCCGTCTTTCGTTCTCGTATATGCGCGCGTTTAAATTCGCAACTCATCGTCACGGTCGAAAACACGAATTTTTCGATTGTACTTTCGACCTTGCCCCTCAGCCTTCTTTCCTTTCCGTTTTCACACGCTCGTTCTTCGTCACCGATTCCGTTGTCCGTCAGTGTGTCTTTGTTGTCTCGAACGAGATTCGTCCTATGCATCTGTTAAGATTACCGTTTTCTTGTCTCGCGTGAGATGTATTAGTTCCGTAGGTGCGATCGAACGAAAGAGGAAGTAGGACGCAATCAATTTCCAATCTGTATTTAATCTCTTCCAGTCGCTTGTCCCTCGTTCCTCCCTCGTGTGTGTGTCGCGGAGTTGCCAGGAATCTCTATATTTCTATACGAATCTTATCGCGTGCGCGTCCCTAATATACGTAAAATGATGTTAGCGAGCAAACGATGAAAGAGAAAAATAAAAGAGAAAGAGATAAACGGACACGCGAGCGAGTGAACAGGAGCGAGGGGGAAGAGAAGCGCTTTAGAAGAAGGGGATTGAATTTTCGAGAGACCTTTATAACGCGATACCGCCAGACAGATCACATGTTTATTAAGAGAAAAAAATTTAATGAAATTAAAACGTCGATTATACGCGAGAGCGGATTCACACGACGCGAATAAGGGTACGAAGTAATAAAGCAAAGAGAAAAAAGGGGGAAAAACGCGCCCCTCGTTGACGTCACGCGCGTCATGCGAGGACGCGTGTCTCGTTGATCTCTCGACGATCGAGACGCGACGGTTCGTTCGGAAGGATGGATCGCCGGAACCGTCCTCTTCTCCTGATCGACGGAGCGCGACGAGCGAAACGAGAGGACGACAAGAGTAGAGGAGGAGGAGGAGGAGGAATAGTAGTAGGTGGGAGGGGAGGAGGAGGAGGAGGAGGTAGCAAGAAGTGAAAATGTCAGAAAGAGGAAAAAGGCAGAAAGAGCATAAGACAAAAATTTTATCGATATTTTCAATACGCCCGCATACACGCAAATCTTGTATAAAAATTTTAATGTAACACACTGCTCCCTGCCGAGCCGCGACCGAGCCGCGCGTCGGCAAGCCGCCGATGCACCTCGAAATCTGTCGTCCGAAGTCTAGCCAAGGAAAGATCGCGAGACGGATGTCGTGTGAACGAGTCGATCCTCGGGATCGCCTCGAGAGACACCCCCTCGGCTCCGACACATTCGATTCCTCCGTTCGGAAAGAGGTACGCCGGCGGCGTCGCGCGTCGCGTGGCTCTCGCGCGACAGATCTCGGCGTTCTAGTATACTAAAGTAAACTGAAAGAAAAGTAATAAAGAGAGATAACCCACGTATACCGAAAGACTCAGGTGCGAGAAAAGTCAGTATATAGTTACGGTCCTGAAATTGGACGAGAATTACCACACGAATTCGTAAGTTAATTGTCGCGCGCGCGACATAGACGCACGTGCGTGGCTTCTCTACGTGACGCGCGCCGATCGATCGTGCTCGATCCTCGACCGTCTCGACCGAACGGTGTAGGAAGCGCGAGGAAGGAGCCCCCTTTGCCTTGCGGGGGCTCCTCTTGCGAGAATCCATCCGGGCCCTTCGACGCGCCGCGCGAACCTTCTCGTCGGGGAGATCGGTCGCGATCACACCGGGTGAAAATGGTATACGATAAGGGGACGGACGGACAAATTGTATACGTTGCGCGCGAGAAATCGCGCGGCGCCGAGATTACGCATGCGAGACCTCGACGAATATCTCTTTCTTCATCTGACGCGACGATTTTTCTTTTTTACGAGTCTCATCATATTTGAACGTAACTTCAGCGCTCGCTAATTTCAGCACTCGCGCGCCGGATTTTGCGTCAGAATTTCGTAGTAAAAGTTACTGTAGGGTTCTGTAACCGAGGAATAGATTGAAATTCTGCACAGTGATTAATTATCTTTTCATTTCATATATGCTAGTTATGCTTTTGGCAACAGAAATGTACTGCTAAAATATTTTCTGTGTTTCTAGCGAAATTTACTATGTTTCTTAGCAACATAGATCTTATATCAACAGTCTATTCTTGGGCTACTGAAAACACAGTGAAATTAAAAAGAATTTAAAAAAAGAAAGATATTCTTTCCGTATAGCTTTCCGATTACGAGGGTGACGCTCGTCCCTCGCGGATTTTCTTGAACGAGGACCACGCGAGCGAGTTCTAGCGCACGCGATCTCGGCGATTCTCAGCATAAGAGAGTAATCTATATCTAGAAATAGTTATCGTGAACGAGACAATCACAAGGACTAACTAACTAATCCGACGACTGCGACCGACACCCCGGCTGTTGTCGTGCGCGCGGCTGCGAAGACGACGGCGCGTATTTACGGATTATATTTGTTGAGCGATATATTGTTTAATTTTGTTGAAGCCTCCCCGGCTTCCCGGGCGTGCGCGACAACACGGTGGGTCACACGGCGGTCGTATCACGCGCGGATCGATCTCCTCCGACGGAAAGTGACGCTCTCTTGAAGGAGCTACACAGAACGTTCACACAATCGCAGAGAGCCGGTCGTTGTGAAATATTGCCCGTTAGATACGACGTATTACGTTCGTTGAAATTATTTTCTCCGACGACGTCACACTCGCGTCCACGGTGTGTGTGTGTGTGTCCAGTGCAATAGAGCGAACCCTCGAGTCGAGTCGGGGTAGTTGACGAGTCGACGAAGTTAACGCGCGATGTCCAACGATCGATCCAAGTAGTCTTTTAGCGACAGACGCAGTTCGATACGACGTGAACAAACTCTCCTCTTCTCCGCGCGCGAGAAAAAAAGAAAGGAAGATCCGAAAGACGTGTAATTATTTTCTAGCGGGACGCGTTTCCTCGTCTCCTACGGCTAGTAGAGGCGTTTCGCGGGCGAGGAAGGCCGCACGATCGAGCGCGCGCGCGCGCGCGGAAATCGGCACGAACCGAGCGAAGGAGACCGGAGCGACCGGACGTCGTATTGGCTGTACGTTTTATAAATGAGTTCACTCGATTGAATCATCGCCTTAAAAATGTATACGAAGTAACAGTAAGGTATCTAAGTAATAATCATGTTAGAGGGTAAATCGTAACAAAGATTTTATGAGCGGCGACCGAGCGACGAGGGCAGAGTGAGAGAGAGAAAGAGAGAGAGAGCGAGCGAGCGAGCGAGAGAGAGAGAGAGAGAGAGAGAGAGAGAGAGAGAGAGAGAGAGAGAGAGAGAGAGAGAG